TATTTAAACCCCTTTCCCGCCTTTTAATAAAACAGCTACAAAAACATCTCGTAATCAAACATATTCAAGTATTTATACAACTTTTTCTATATCAATTGCTTTTATTCTTTGTACTTTACCAGCATTATTTATGTTTCATTTTTCTGAAAATATTTTCAATTGTAAGGGTCCTTATTAGAAGAAGTATTTCGTTCCATTGTAAATCTTTTTTGATTGCAGAACACAATTTTTCATTTTATATTTTTCTCTTTTAGTAAAAGTTTTAGACTTGAAGTAAAAAATCTTATATTAAATTTAAAATTAAATTATAAATCTTCATCTTTTTTATCATCATCTTCACCATTTCCTTTATCTAAAAGTAAGTTAATTTACATGCAGCAAACTATTTTATAATACTATTTTATAATTTGTTATACTAAAAAAAATTACATGACAATGAGAGTATATATATAAGAAATTGTACTAACATCACTCAGTTTCTTACATATCATATTATTAGTGACATTAGAGAGACTGAAGGTATTTATTAGATTTAGAAATATACTAACAATCCTGGAAAAAAAAGTATTTTTCACATACTGTGTTCATAAATTGTCTGTATATAATATGGGTATTAATATTAAAACTACCCATTTTACTGAAAAATTATAATTTAATATTTCATTTTCAGATAAATTTATGCTAAGTTATACTAAATAGAAATGTATATACTAAAATATAATACTGAAGAAAGAAAATTATGTGTGAAGAAAAATTTACTTTTAATTATGATTTGGAAAGACATAATGTAATTCATATAGGAGAGAAGAAACAATATCAGTGCACAGTGTAAAAAGAAGTATTTGCATGTTTTTTCACTGAAACGTCATCATCATTTGAAACAAATACCAATGTTTGCTATGTAGAGCAAGATTTATTTCTAATAAAGACTTGAAAATAAATAATGTAATTCATACAGAAAAAAAACATATCAGTGTACAGTGTAAAAAAAGTTATGAAAAAAAGTATCCGTGTACAATTTGTGGAAGGGCTCTAGCTCTAGGTTACAGAAAGATGTTTTTTTTATGAATTGAATAGACATATTTTAATTCATACAAATGTCAGAAATGCAACTCCAAGCACGACGTATTTAGTGAGAACCTGATGTGTAAAACAAGAAGAACTCTAAGCACGAAGAATATGTATACCCGGTGAGTTTATTTTTTAAAAATGTTTTTGTAGCTGTGAATATTTAGTACAACATAAGAGACGTATAATATGTAGAAAGAAATAACTATCTTAAATAACATTAATTTATATTTTATATTTTATTTCAGATAAATGTGTACACTCAGTGGAAGTTGTCTAAATCATAATATACGGAAGATGCCTACAGGATGAGTGTAGAATGTTTTAGTACCAAGGAAAATCACATGTTAGAAATTATATCAGTGCACACAGTGTAAAACAAGAACAACTCTAAGCACAAAGAATATGTATACCCGGTGAGTTTATTTTTTAAAAATGTTTTGGTAGCCGTGAATATATATGTGTTTAGTGCAACATGAAAAGAGACAATCAGAAAATATTAAATATGTGATTTTTGAGATTTATTTACTGTATAGTACTTTTAATTTATATTTTATATTTTATTTCAGATAAACGTGTATACTCAGTGGAAGTAGGTTGGAAATACATACTAGAACAACCCATACGAAAGAGAAACCTATATCAGTGTCAGAAATGTTAGAAATGTTTTAATGTTAAGGAATAAAATGTTTTAGTATTAAGAAATATTTAGTACAACATGAAAAGATACTACGAGAGAGAAACCATATCAATGTCAGACATGTCAGAAATGTTCAAAAATGTTTTATAGCCATGAATATCTATTACAACATAAAAAGGGATATAATATTATTAATAAGAAGTTTGATTGTAAATTATGCGGAAAGAAATTTATTACGAAATATAGGTTGAAATTACATACTAGAAATTTATACGGGAAGAGAAAACCATATCAAATGTCAGAAATGTAGAAATGTTTTAGTGTCAAGAAATATTTAATACAAGATGAAAAAATACATACTGGGGATAAACCATATCAGTGTCAGAAATGTCAGAAATGTTTTAGTATAAAGGAATATTTAGTACAACATGAAAAGATACATAATAAGAAGTTTGCTTGTACATTATGCGAAAAGACATTTTTTACAAAATATAGGTTGAAAATACATACTAGAACTCATACGGAAGAGAAATCATATCAGTGTCAGAAATGTCAGAAATGTTTTGGTCGCCATGATTATTTAGTACAACATGAAAAGAGACATTATAATAAGAAGTTTGCTTGTACATTATGTGAAAAGACATTTTTTGAGAAACGTAGATTGAAAATACATATTAGAACTCATATGGGAGCGAAACCATATCAGTGTCAGAAATGTCAGAAATGTTTTTATTGCCATGAATATTTATTACGACATGAAAAGAGACATAATATTATTAATAAGAAATTTGCTTGTACATTATGCGAAAAGACATTTTTTGAGGAATATATATTGAAAATACATATTAGAACTCATACGGGAGAAAAACCATATCAGTGTCAGAAATGTCAGAAATGTTTTTATTGCCATGAATATTTATTACGACATGAAAAGAGACATAATATTATTAATAAGAAATTTGCTTGTACATTATGCGAAAAGACATTTTTTGAGGAATATATATTGAAAATACATATTAGAACTCATACGGGAGAGAGACTATATCAGTGTCAGAAATGTCAGAAATCTTTTACTCGTTTTGAAAATTTATTAAAACATGAAAATAAACATTTAGTTTGTACACGAAAGAAATTTTTTGAGAAAGTAAAATTACAAATTTCACAATCAAATGAAAAGAGACATAAATGTTAGAAATCATATAAGTAATTGAAGAGACATAATATAATTCATGATGTATAAAACAAGAACAACTCCAAGCACGACGTATTTAGTGAGAACCTATTACATACATGGATCCTTTTAAATCAAGGAGAATATGTATACTTGGTGAGTTTATTTTTTAAAAATGTTTTGGTAGCTGTGAATATTTAGTACAACATAAGAGAGTATAATATGTAGAAAGAAATAACTAACTTTTAAGAAATTTAACATTAATTTATATTTTATTTCAGATAAATGTGTACACTCAGTGGAAGTTGTCTAAATCATAATATACGGAAGATGCCTACAGGATGAGTGTAGAATGTTTTAGTACCAAGGAAAATCACATGTTAGAAATTATATCAGTGCACACAGTGTAAAACAAGAACAACTCTAAGCACAAAGAATATGTATACCCGGTGAGATTATTTTTTAAAAATGTTTTGGTAGCCGTGAATATATGTTAAGAGACGTATAATATGTAGAAAGAAATAACTAACTTGTCTAAATAATAATGTAAAGGATACTAAGAGGATTAAAGTGTCGATAAGATGTCTACAGGAGAACAGCTATTTTTTATACCTAATATTATTAATTAAATGGAAGACTTAGCGTATACATTTGATATAGATACTACAATCGAATCCTTTGATAAGATAGATAACATTACTCTTTCTGATTTGATATCTTTTTACGATGTAGATATTGAAGAAGCACAATTTGAAGAACTTCATATGAAGAGACATAAGAAATTTGCTTGTACATTATGCGGAAAGACATTTCCTACAAAACAGAGGGTGGAAATACATACTAGAACAACTCATACGAAAGAGAAACCATATCAGTGTCAGAAATGTCAGAAATGTTTTAGTGCCAAGGAATATTTAGTAAAACATGAAAAGATACATACGGGAGAGAAACCATATCAATGTAAGACATGTCAGAAATGTTTTAGTGTTAAGGATTATTTAGTACAACATGAAAAGAGACATAATATTATTAATAAGAAATTTGCTTGTACATTATGCGAAAAGACATTTTTTGAGAAACATAGATTGAAAATACATACTAGAACAACTCATACGAAAGAGAAACCATATCAGTGTCAGAAATGTCAGAAATGTTTTAGTGCCAAGGAATATTTAGTAAAACATGAAAAGATACATACGGGAGAGAAACCATATCAATGTAAGACATGTCAGAAATGTTTTGTTCATCATAACTGTTTAGTACAACATGAAAAGAGACATACGGGAGAGAAACCATATCAATGTCAGACATGTCAGAAATGTTTTGTTCGTCATGACCATTTATTACAACATGAAAAGAGACATTATAATAAGAAGTTTGCTTGTACATTATGCGAAAAGACATTTTTTGAAAAACGTAGATTGAAAATACATATTAGAACTCATACGGGAGAGAAACCATATCAGTGTCAGAAATGTCAGAAATGTTTTTATAGCCATGAATATCTATTACGACATGAAAAGGGACATAATATTATTAATAAGAAGTTTGCTTGTACATTATGCGGAAAGACATTTCCTACAAAAAATAGGTTGAAAATACATACTAGAATTCATACGAAAGAGAAACCATATCGGTGTCAGAAATGTAATAAATGTTTTAGTGTCAAGAAATATTTAATACAACATGAAAAAATACATACTGGGGATAAACCATATCAGTGTCAGAAATGTCAGAAATGTTTTAGTATAAAGGAATATTTAGTACAACATGAAAAGATACATAATAAGAAGTTTGCTTGTACATTATGCGAAAAGACATTTTTTACAAAATATAGGTTGAAAATACATACTAGAACTCATACAGAAGAGAAATTATATCAGTGTCAGAAATGTCAGAAATGTTTTTATAGCCATGATTATTTATTAAAACATGAAAAGAGACATTATAATAAGAAGTTTGCTTGTACATTATGTGAAAAGACATTTTTTGAGAAACATAGATTGAAAATACATATTAGAACTCATACGGGAGAGAAACCATATCAGTGTCAGAAATGTCAGAAATGTTTTTATTGCCATGAATATTTATTACGACATGAAAAGAGACATAATATTATTAATAAGAAATTTGCTTGTACATTATGCGAAAAGACATTTTTTGAGAAATATAAGTTGAAAATACATACTAGAATTCATACGGGAGAGAAACCACATGAAAAGTCATAATAATATTAAGACTATCAGAAAATGTTAAATGTTTTTATAGTCATTAATATTTAGTAAAACAAATATGTGATTTTTGAGATTTATTTACTGTATAGTACTTTTAATTTATATTTTATATTTTATTTCAGATAAACATGTATATTCAGTGGAAGCTGTACATCATAATGCACTACTTGTACATTTTTTATACAGTATGTCCTCTGAAAAAGTGGAAGAATTAGCATATACATAAGACATAAGTTTGCTTGTATATTATGCAGAAAAATATTTTTAACAAAATATAGGTTGGAAATACATACTAGAACAACTCATACGAAAGAGAAACCATATCAGTGTCAGAAATGTCAGAAATGTTTTGTTTGTCATGACTATTTAGTACAACATGAAAAGATACATAATAATAATAAGAAGTTTGCTTGTACATTATGCGGAAAGAAATTTCTTTTAAAATATAGGTTGAAAATACATACTAGAATTCATATTGTAGAGAAACCATATCAGTGTCAGAAATGTCAGAAATGTTTTAGTGCCAAGGAATATTTAGTACGACATGAAAAGAGACATGATATTATTAATAAGAAGTTTGCTTGTACATTATGCAAAAAGACATTTTTTGAGGAATATAGATTGAAAATTCATACTAGAATTCACACGCGAGAGAAACCATATCAGTGTCAGAAATGTCAAAAATGTTTTTATAGCCATGAATGTTTAGTAAAACATGAAAAGAGACATGATATTATTAATAAGAAGTTTGCTTGTACATTATGCGAAAAGACATATTTTGAGGAATATAGATTGAAAATACATACTAGAATTCACACGGGAGAGAAACCATATCAGAGTCAGAAATGTCAGAAATGTTTTTATATCCATGAATGTTTAGTACGACATGAAAAGAGACATAATATTATTAATAAGAAATTTGCTTGTACATTATGCGAAAAGACATTTTTTGAGAAATATAAGTTGAAAATACATACTAGAATTCATACGGAAGAGAAACCACATCAGTGTCAGAAATGTCAGAAATGTTTTAGTGCTAAGGAATATTTAGTACAACATGAAAAGAGACATGATACTATTAAGACTATCAGAAAATGTTAAATATGTGATTTTTGAGGTTTATTTACTGTATAGTAATTAATTTTAAGCCAGCCCGTAATGCTATGCATAGTATAAGTGGCTTTGGCATGCTGCTCTTATCTGTATTTTTATTGTACCTCTGTAAGTGTGCTCAAATTATAGTACTCATAATGCACTACTTGTACATTTTTTATACGTAATATCTATTATATATTATTAATTCAAATGTCCTCTGAAAAAGTGGAAGAATTAACATATACATTAGCTTATACATTTGATATAGATACAATTGAATCCTTTGATAAGATAGATAACATTACTCTTTCTGATTTAATATCTTTTTACGATGTAGATATTGAAGAAACAATATTTGAAGAAAATACAAAAACAAAGATTAATGAAAACCCTGGAACAAATATTGGAGAAATAACTCATACGGGAGAGAAACCATATCAGTGTCAGAAATGTCGGAAATGTTTTAGTGTTAAGAAATATTTAGTGAAACATGAAAAGATACATACGGGAGAGAAACCATATCAATGTCAAACATGTCAGAAATGTTTTGTTCGTTATGACCATTTATTTCAACATGAAAAGAGACATTATAATAAGAAGTTTGCTTGTACATTATGCGAAAAGACATTTTTTGAAAAATATAGATTGAAAATACATATTATAACTCATACTGGAGAGAAACCATATCAGTGTCAGAAATGTCAAAAATGTTTTAGTATTAAAAAATATTTAGTACAACATGAAAAGATACATAATATTATTAATAAGAGGTTTGCTTGTACAATATGTGAAAAGAAATTTTTTGAGAAAATAGACATAAAAAAACATATTAGAACTCATACAAATACGGGAGAGAAACCATATCAGTGTCAGAAATGTCAGAAATGTTTTAGTGCTAAGGAATATTTAGTACACCATGAAAAGAGACATAATATTATTAATAAGAAGTTTGCTTGTACAATATGTGGAAATTTTTTTTTTGAGAAATGGGAGATGAAAAAACATACTAGAACTCATACGGAAGAAAAACTATATCAGTGTCAGAAATGTCAGAAATGTTTTAATGCCAAGGAATATTTAGTACAACATGAAAAGAGATGTACATTATGTGGAAAAAAAAAGAAAAGACAATGAAATGAAACATCAATTATTAAAACCATTTCAGTAAATTTGGAATCCCAGTTAAGCCATAAGTAATGTGTTTTAAATTTTTATTTAAATTTATTATTTATAATGTTATTATTTTGTTTCTAATAGTTACGTGGATTTATAATATTTTTGTATTTTATACTGAAATATTAAATGATACATTCGGGAGAGAAACCATATCAGTGTCAGAAATGTCAAAAATGTTTTTATATCCATGAATGTTTAATGCAACATGAAAAGAGACATGATACTATTAAGACTATCAGAAAATGTTAAATGTTTTTGAGATTTATTTACTGTATAGTACTTTTAATTTATATTTTATATTTTCTTTCAGATAAACATGTATATTCAGAATGTCCTCTGAAAAAGTGGAAGAATTAGCGTATGCATTTGATATAGATACTACAATCGAATCCTTTGATAAGATAGATAACATTACTCTTTCTGATTTAATATCTTTTTACGATGTAGATATTGAAGAAGCACAATTTGAAGAACTTCATATGAAGAGACATAAGAAATTTGCTTGTACATTATGCGGAAAGACATTTCCTACAAAACAGAGGTTGGAAATACATACTAGAACAACTCATACGAAAGAGAAACCATATCAGTGTCAGAAATGTCAGAAATGTTTTAGTGCCAAGGAATATTTAGTAAAACATGAAAAGATACATACGGGAGAGAAACCATATCAATGTAAGACATGTCAGAAATGTTTTGTTCGTCATAACTGTTTAGTACAACATGAAAAGAGACATCATAATAAGAAGTTTGCTTGTACAAAATGTAAAAAGACATTTTTTGAGAAACATAGATTGAAAATCCATACTAGAACAACTCATACGAAAGAGAAACCACATCAGTGTCAGAAATGTCAGAAATGCTTTAGTATCAAGGAATATTTAGTACAACATGAAAAGATACATAATAAGAAATTTGCTTGTACATTATGCGAAAAGACATTTCCTACAAAATAGAGGTTGGAAATACATACTAGAACAACTCATACGAAAGAGAAACCACAAACAGTGTCAAAATGTCAGAATGTTTTAGTATCAAGGAATATTTAGTACAACATGAAAAGATACATAATATTATTAATAAGAAATTTGCTTGTACATTATGCGAAAAGACATTTCCTGCAAAACAGAGGTTGGAAATACATACTAGAACAACTCATACGAAAGAGAAACCACATCAGTGTCAGAAATGTCAGAAATGTTTTAGTATCAAGGAATATTTAGTACAACATGAAAAGATACATAATATTAATAAGAAATTTGCTTGTACATTATGCGAAAAGACATTTTTTGAGAAATATAGTTTTAAAAACATATTAGAAACTCATACGGGAGAAAAATCATATCACTGTCAAGAAATGTCAGAAATGTTTTAAGTGCCAAGGGAAAATTTAGTACAACATGAAAAGAGACATAATATTATTAATAAGGAGTTTGCTTGTACATTATGCGAAAAGACATTTTTTGAGAAATATAAGTTGAAAAAACATACTAGAACTCATACGGAAGAGAAACTATAAAACGAATTGTCAGAAATGTTTTAGTGCCAAGGGAAATTTAGTACAACATGAAAAGAGACATAATATTATTAAAAAGAAGTTTGCTTGTACAATATGTGGAAATTTTTTTTTTGAGAAATGGGAGATGAAAAAACGTACTAGAACTCATACGGAAGAGAAACTATAAAACGAAATGTCAGAAATGTTTTAATGCCAAGGAATATTTAGTACAACATGAAAAGAGTCATAATAATATTAAGACTATCAGAAAATGTTAAATCAAATATGTGATTTTTGAGAGCTGCACTACTTGTACGTTTTTTATACAGTATGTCCTCTGAAAAAGTGGAAGAATTAGCATATACATTTGATATAGATACTACAATCGAATCCTTTGATAAGATAGATAACATTACTCTTTCTGATTTGATATCTTTTTATGATGTAGATATTGAAGAAACACAATTTGAAGAACTTCATATGAAGAGACATAAGAAATTTGCTTGTACATTATGCGGAAAAAAATTTCCTAAAAAACATAGGTTGGAAATACATACTAGAACAACTCATACGAAAGAGAAACCATATCAGTGTCAGAAATGTCAGAAATGTTTTAGTGCCAAGGAATATTTAGTACAACATGAAGAGATACATAATATTAATAAGAAATTTGCTTGTACATTATGCGAAAAGACATTTCCTACAAAACGGAGGTTGGAAATACATACTAGAACAACTCATACAAAAGAGAAACCATATCAGTGTCAGAAATGTCAGAAATGTTTTAGTATCAAGGAATATTTAGTACAACATGAAAAGATACATAATAAGAAATTTGCTTGTACATTATGCGAAAAGACATTTCCTACAAAACAGAGGTTGGAAATACATACTAGAACAACTCATACAAAAGAGAAACCATATCAGTGTCAGAAATGTCAGAAATGTTTTAGTGCCAAGAAATATTTAATACAACATGAAAAGAGACATAATATTATTAATAAGAAGTTTACTTGTACAATATGTGGAAAATTTTTTTTTGAGAAATGGGAGATGAAAAAACATACTAGAACTCATACGGAAGAGAAACTATAAAACGAAATGTCAGAAATGTTTTAATGCCAAGGAATATTTAGTACAACATGAAAAGAGACGTTTATGTGGGAAAAAAAAAAAAAGAAAAGACAATAAAATGAAACATCAATTATTAAAACCATTTCAGTAAATTTGGAATCCCAGTTAAGCTATAAGTAATTTGTTTTAAATTTATTATTTATAATGTTATTATTTTGCTTCTAATAGTTACGTGGATTTATAATATTTTTGTATTTTATACTGAAATATTAAATGGTACATTATAATAAAAAAAGTTGTATTTTTTATTTAAATATTAAT